CGGCCCCGCTCGGCGGCCTCGCGCCGGTACTCCTGCAGCTCGGGCGCGTCGCCGCGCGCGGCGGGCAGCTCGCCGCAGTCGCGCAGCGCGCCGTCGCGGTCCACGTACAGCAGGTGCGTGCGGGAGCACAGCTCATCCAGCTGCACAGCGCGACACCGCACGTCACTTCCCACAGGTACGAGTAAAGGGGGATTGGGCTCTCTTAGTTTCGCTTTTTGACTACATATGCTCACTTAAGCAAATCTTCTTCTTTAAATTTGTTTGAGCATAAATTAATTAAATATGTATGAGGATCTCATGGTTGTCATGTTTATTTCATTATCCTGCTAAGTACTAATTCTTGTAAAGTAGTTCCGCTTTTGAAATCAGGCGATAATACGGAACCCAATAATAATGGGCCAGTCTCTATTTCAACAATGCTTAGTAATGTCTTTGAAAAGCTGATGCTTTCTCCGATGCTACGAAATTTTAACATTAATTCCATCTTTCGAAACGAAACGAAACGGTCGATGCACAACTGACCCCAGTGTGACTCAACTAAACCATGTCTTTGCCTCGTGGGAAAGGTCACACGACGCTACTGGATTTTTTTTGTGATCTGTCCAAAGCTTTTGATTGCGTTGAATACGAGATACTGTTCCTGAAGTTGGAACACTGCGGCATTCGAGGGGCATCTCTCAATTTATTAAAATTATACCTCCAGGATAGACAGTTCAAAGTTCAAGCAAATAACCTGAACTCTCCAGGTGCTAGCATATGTATGGGCGTACCACAGAGCTCCATACAATGTCCTTTTCCGGTCTACATAAATGACTTACCTCATTTATTTCAATGTGAACCGGGAATAATACTATTCCATATATTTGCTGATATCGTTAATTTTTTAAATAAATAGACGGGCAAATAATTATGACGAGGGAAATAATGCAATCTCGAAGCTTCGTAATTGCTTTACAGTAAACTAACCGACAAAAAAAACCAAATTTTTACGACATTTGCCATTGGCATTTGGCAAACACTCCCCACACTAGGATTTTTTCCTGTGTCGTACATTCGTTTACAAACATCATACACACCACACTCAGACCCGGAACAACAATTTGTGGATCACACAACGTGGCCCAACCACCGCGACAACCGAGCTGTCTAAATTTTATGTTAGGAAACCTTACAATTATTTAGTTAGGATTATGTTAGCCATTGTTTAAATTGGCAAAGGTACACAAGTTGTTCATGGGATTCTGTATTCAGTGTTTTAACAAAATCCCAAGCGAAATACGACGTCTATAATACCCTCATACATTAACATCCTCAGAATATGTTTTTTAGAAAATCCCCGCAAAATATCATTCATATATACGTATGTACGTGTTGTAATTCGCATAAATAGGTAACGATACTCACATCGGCGTCGACTGCCTGTCTGTCCCGCAGCCAGACCAGCGCTGCGTCAGCCACCGCGAAGGCAGTCTCCTCGCCCCCCTCCGCGCTCGTCTCCCGCAGCAACTCAATGCGGATCAGCGGCAGCGTCGCCAGGGCTCCGCTCTTGCACACCTCGTCGAACTGCAACACAGGGACCTACAGTCGAGGCGCGGCGCGGCGGCGGGCCGGCCGACCGCGCGACACTCACGTTCTGCGCGATGTAGGCGTCCAGCGTGGCCACGTGGTCGTCGGCCAGGTCGGGCAGCGCGCGCAGCTCCAGGCAGTCGGCGGGCGACAGGCGGCGCAGCAGCGCGGCCGCCAGATGGGCCCGCACGGGCTCGAGGCGCAGGCGCCAGGCGGCGCGGTACAGGCGGCGCGCGGCGCCCGCGTCGCGCACGCGCAGGCGGCCCGTGTACACGTAGTCCACCAGCGCCGCCAGCGCGTCCGCGTCCACGTCGGCCACGCGGCAGGCGGGCGGCGCGGCGCCGGGCGCGGGCAGCGCGGCCAGCGCCTGCAGCAGGTAGGGCGACGCGGCCGCCAGCACGGCGCGATGCACGGGCAGCTCGGCGCCGCCGGCCAGCAGCACGGCGTCGTAGTGCTGCCGCGACTTGCGCAGCGCGTTCAGCGCGCGCAGCACGCGCGCCGGCGCCGCCTCGTCGCGCAGCGACAGCGCGTCCTCCAGCGCGTCGCCCGACGACTCCGAGCTGTCCGACCCGTCTGCCGCAGGCCCGTTACGTTACTCGCGCGACGTGTTTATGTTATATTGATATTATTGACGCATCGACAGCGATATATCAGAATGTACCTCGGCTTAGTGATTCGAGATAAGAACTTGTCTCGACTGTACATATTTAAACAACAAATTTTATCACAATTAAAAAGAAATCTTTTGATAACAATCTCAATATCATTCCACACACAAAGCATTGAACAAACGAATGTATTAACATTTATGACAAGTATTGAAGTAGGAGCAATTATGACAAGTATACAACAGAACAAGATGACGGTGAGTGACCATGATGACAGTGCTACTTGTAGTGAGTACAGCGTGCCTAGTGACTGTGAGAATGTAATGACATTAATCACAACTACTTACAATAAACCTGTGTGTCATTGTCAATTGAATCAATTGGTGCTGGGTACACACCGGCCCACACCGCCTCTACTCTCCACACTCACCCAACATTCATGTAAGCCACACAGTCAGACATTGACTACTTTACTGCAATGACTTATTAATTGCTAGAGACAGCAGAAATCAGCCATGCAATTACTTACTACACTTGCATGTCTACTGGCTCTAAGTAACTTTAATGATTGGTAGGTATGCAATGTTGTGATGGTTATAGGAACAAGGTCATTGGATGGAATCTAATGGGGGTAGTACATGTACTGGGCATGACATACCTGCTGACCAGTACAGATCTGCCGTCAGCTAGACATAACTGATTTGCGAGTAACAAGGCCCCCTCTACAGTGCGCAAATATTTCTAACATGATATCGGGTTATGGCGAAGTGAATAAAATGAAGCGGTGTGGCGTTCAAGGTCAAGCTGCAGGGAATGTACGGGGCGGCGAGAGTGCTTACCGTCGCCGTTCCTGTAGTCGTCGTGCGGCTTCATGTCGCGCGGCCGCGGGCTCTGGTCTGCACCTGCGGGCAGGCCGGGCGTCAGTCGTCGCGCTAACCGGATTACAGAGCACGTGGCCGGCCGAGGCGCGGCGAGCGAAGGCCGCGGCGCAGTTAGCACAGGTCACATGGCGCGACGTAAACAAACCCACCTGATGCGTCGCGGCGCTGCCTCGCTGCACGCTCGCTGTGTCGGGGCCGGGCGCCGAGCTCACAGCTGTGACATGCCGTGCCGGCGCAGGGACGCTGTACCGGCCGCGGTGCCACGCAATTATTACAAACGAAACGACACTCTCCTGCCACCGCCCGCACACTGTTTTTATTTTGTAATTGTTTGACATATAAACGTCACACTTTGACAGTTACTCATTGTTCAATAGTTTTTAGAAGTGTCACCGTCTCACCATAGACGAAATAAATTGACGTATGTTCTCATTGCATATTTTTATTTATTATTTTTATAATCTGCAATGTACAAAGCCTCACAGATCGACAACATCTCTTCTAATAATATTATATTAAAACTTATAATATTATTTTAATATTTTAACGCTATCAAAGACCATGAGTTACCTAGCTATATAGTCCGTATGTTCGTCAAAGGATGGCGCCACCGTTGCAATATACATAGGTTATGATAATTTCAAAGAATGATAGGTATTCGCTTTGAATGAAATTGAAATTAACTCAAACTCACAAACACCTTATTTGCATACTTTATTTATTAACACGTTAACCGCCACGTAGGTCACCGGTGACCTACGGAGGATTTAATCCAATTCGATAGAATAGTCTCCTCCGTCTTACAAAACACAAAAGTAAGAACTTATAATTTAAACATGATGATATTTTTGTACCTATACCATGTTTTGCGCAATCATATTATAGTCGCCCCTTTAGTGTAATTATCTATTCACTCCTGAAATTCTATTTATCCCATTTTACGGTACCTATATAGGGATTTTAATGAAAATGTATCCCAGCTTTAATAAGGGTAGGTACCCAGTACCCACTAAGCCAATTTGTTTCTAGGTATTTACTTCCCTAGTTTATCATCAATTCTTTAATACACTCAAGTGTGGCTTCACTGAAATTTACATAATATGCAGAATAAAATGATTTTGATTTGATAAGTCGTACATCATCATAGGTACATATCCAAATTATTTATTTGTATAGTCCAATTGATTTTTTAGAATAGCGCGGTTCATGAAGGAAGGTCCAAGGAACCCGATTTATGGCGCCGGTCTATGACGTCCACACACCGGCGGCCAAGACGTACTACAGGTACCTAGGTAGTGACTAAGCATTAGGTGAATAAGCATTGACAACCTTATCCACAATATCTTTCCGTACGTTCCGTTATCTACTTAACCAACGTCGTGTTGTGTTTCGCCGGGTGATCCCAAATCCTTCCTCCATCCTTCAATCTAAAAATCACAAAAGGTTGGCAATGCACTCGTAACATGTCGATGTCCATGGGCGGCGCTTATTGCTTACCATCAGGTAATCAGTCTACCGACTCGTTTGCCAAACTATCAAATAAAAAAAACATTTTTCAGCACTCGTGCGAAGCCGGGGCGGTCGCTAGTATTTAATAATAAAACGCATGTTAATATGTAGGTCAGCATGTTTACAAAATGAAGATACGTACAAATTAAATTAGTAGGTATTTAAAATTACTGCATGAGTGTGTCGTTCAGATGGTCATACATGTCAAGAAGTATTCGATAAGCGCTAGACGATATGAAATATTAAGTTGACGGGTGTAGGTGTAAAGCTGGTGCGTGGTGCGAGGTGTCGCGTCGCATCGGCGTGACGGTGCAGCCAGCAGTGCCCAGCTCGGGGTCGCAGGGCCGCGCGGGTCGATACTGGGCGGGCGGGGGCGCGGGGCGGGGCGCGGGGCGGCGGGGCGAGGGACACGCGCGCCGGGCGCGGGCCAGTGCGCCGCGCGACCCCGCCCGCACTCCACGCGCTATGAGCGCGCTCCGGCCGCGCGCCCGCCGCGCGCCGCTGCTGCTCGCGCTGGCCGCCGCTCTGTTGCCGCACGCCGACCGAGTCGCGTGAGTATCTAGCGCCAGCTGCCCGCTGCGTCTTGAGCATCTATCACATGTGTGTTTCTGTGGCAGCGGCGGCGGCGGCGGCGGGAGCATGTTCGGGGACGTCAATATATCCTCTATTCTGGACTCCTTCAGCATAAGTTACGATAAGAGGGTTCGGCCGAACTATGGAGGTCAGTAGTTAGGTGCCAAAGGCTAAACATTCTTCGAGAATAACGAGCGCGTTGTCCAAATGTCCTCTTCGACTGATCGCCCTTGTCCTGACGCCACTAACGGCTATAGTGCACCAATACTAAGCATTGTTCTCAACATCCTATGTAATTTATACCCAGATCCGAAGTTTGCGTAAAAATGTGTCCATAATGAATTTATTCGCAGGTATCTATCCACTCTAGTTTATTATGTAAATGGAATGAGTTGTGTCAGTGATGAGCTAGGCACTGAGGTCCCCCCGATGCGCGCTGATGCTAGCTGGGTAAAAATATTTGCAGCAAACATTTTCTCACTTACCTACGACTTGCTGATCAAAATTTTTGGTAAACCAAATTTCAAGAAATAACTGGCAACACTTCGTTTAACTAGCGATCTAAGGAACCTGGTAGACTTGTGAGATCTCGTAGTTTATGGCTTCCGCGAGCGTGTGACAAAATACAACTATAATACGTGCCTGTGGCCATTTGCACGTGTGAGCGTCGTCCACCCGTACAATAATAATAAATGAATGTTTCTGCTCGTCGGCAGCAGCCCCGCTGGAATATCTCATGTGCATTACCCAAATTTAAGCGACAACATTAGCTGCCCAGACCTCGTAAATATAAATAATGTATAAACACACAGCCACGTCTTCGTGTCTTAGAGTCTCTGATGAGCTGATGCCAGTTATTCAGACGGGTGCAGCGCCGTGCGACTCAACGCTCAAGTCGCAGTACTAACTCCGCGCAACCTGAATATTTATTACGTTAGCTGTGACGTGTGGCACACCTCCGTCTGTTTCCAACATAGGCTGGTAGTCTCATGATCACAAGCGATCGCAACTTCCCGATGCAATGTCCTCCTTAGTTTATCCACAAGATTCACAACAAAGCTATTAAATAACTACCTAATTATTTAAGTCTGCGTATACTGCAACATAGCCCATACGTTAAAAAAATGACGAGAGGGTTCCGATTTAGTTTGTGCTCGGTAGGCTGGGCCCGCAATAGGCGGCCAGGTAGCGCGGGAGTCAGTCGGCCCAGGGCCTGCTTGCACCGGATACCATAGCTTGTAGTCGTGTTATGTATGTGATGTCGTTTCCAGGACCACCAGTGGAAGTGGGGGTTACCATGTACGTGCTGTCCATCAGCTCTCTGTCGGAAGTGCAAATGGTACCTAGCTAGCAGTACTATTCTAAGTAGTAAGAGGTCACGAGGACACGCGCACGCCGCACCGCACGAGCGCCGGCCGCGCCGCCCGGACTGAACTAGTACTACATGTGGGCTTGCTTGCAGGTCCGCCGGTGGAGGTGGGCGTCACCATGTATGTGCTCTCTATCAGCTCCGTGTCGGAAGTGCTCATGGTACTCGCCCCAGTACTCGCACGCGTCGAGCAGCCCCAGACGCGAGGCTGCGAGCATGTCGCGTTTCATGGATCTGTTCGCTTTCGTATTGTTTCCTAGTGATCTTGTCGATGACTGGTAACGCTCGTCTGACTGTGGCATTACTGTTGTGACTGAACTGATACGGACGCACCGCGCGCCGCGCCCGGCTGCCCCTTCCACGCGCCATCCCTCTGCTTCCGGCTGCCAGCGTCCACCACTCGCTCTCAGTCTTTGACTAACTAAAACGTGCTGTTTTTAATGACGTCTTGTCTTTACCTACCAAAAAAAGGACTGGCCAACAAAGTTCGTATAGTGGAAGCACGGTATTGTGGTATTAAATCGCGGAAAAAGCTGCGAAAATCTAATGCAATAAAAAGGCCGACCTAGATAAAATGTAGCCAAGCCCTTAGTGCACCTAATAGAGCGGCAGCTCACTACCGGCTACACGCAGGGTACAGCGTCCGACCCGGGCTGGGGCCCGGCCTGACACGCGCCGCGTCGGTTGGCTCTGTGCCTGATGCGCTGCCTATTACGGAACAGTTTACCATTCTACGATCAATATCTAGTGTGCACCGCGACACTCAGTTTATTTTTCATTTCAGTGTATCGCTTTCCGATTAACCGTGTAAGTAGTGAGAGCCCAGAGAGCGAGGCCACTCGCCGCTGGAAGCACGAGTGCAGTTAGAGAGCACTGTGCTCCCACGTAATGGTGACACTGAGTTTGTCGACAAGTCGCCGAAGTGGCAGCCGTCAGCGCGCGCCTCTACTAGTTGTCTACCGTGTAACGTTAGCACCGATGATAACATAGAACTTATTTTAAACTTGTACTAGTTTTCCTTCTCTATCTCTGTCTTTGCTAAGTATGTACTGTGGTGTAAGTTTGTGTAACGTAAGCGACTCGTGGCTACAAGTACCGCCAGGGACAGCGGCGCGGCCGCGAGCCAGCGCGCCACACGCTACTGCAGCTGCACCTCGTACACCAGCACACACACATACACACACACACACTCACACTACACTACTCGCTAGCCTCGCCTGCCCGCGACCTGCCGCCCTGCGTGACGCCTACTTTAATAGCTCTTCGTGAGTTCCGTGACTTATCGGTTCCGAAGTGAACTAGTTCACCGCCACACATTACATGTTGTACATTACATTGGCACTCTCTATTATTATCATAATGCTCCATTGTTATTATGAGACAAGTCAGAGGGAAGTGAACGGGGTCATTTTCAAGATTCAATCGGTTATGCTCCAATATTGTACATCGTCCTTAATAATTAATAATAATACAAAAAAACATTATTTCGATCATCTAATTGTAAGCGACGCCGGCTTGAGAACCGAATGACATTTGTAAATGTAAACTTGCGAGGATTTGTGTGGAAACGAACGCGGTGACGGTTGGAATTACTGTACGGCTACAAACTGTAGTAGAGTAGTCCTTCAATGTGTATGGTTTCGGAGTCTCGGTCTGTCTGCTCATTGGTGGTTGCTTCCTCGAGCTGCAGCGCCTTTGAGAGAATTTATCGCGTCAACAATGTAACGATCCGAGAAATGGTAAGTTTTGGCACACTTGCAAAGTGGAGGAGATGTCATATCTCGGCTGCCGAATCGAGTCAGTCTGCCATCTCACGGCAGCTGGGTTTCAGAGTACCTAATGACGCGCGCAAGTCAGTAAATACCCACATCGGGGATAGTCAACTAGTTCTCATCTGCTAAATGCTAGACGAATTTCACTCGATAAGTACAGCTGAAAATATCTGTTTTCGCAATGGATGTAAATGGTCCCTAATGTTTTTACCTACATATAGTTTTTTTGCACAACAATAATAATGCAATGTTCTTGAGCGCGTCATAACTCACACAATGCTAAGAAATCCGAACCATAAGCACTCGTTTTTTCCTTAATATAGATTTTTTTTCAAAGCGAAATACTATTTCATTTCGAGAATTACTGTTCAAAACTATTAAAGTAAATCTAACCGTCCCCGTGACAGTGAACGAGCCGTTATATATAATTGCATTCACTATGTCGAATTGGTCAACGCCGTCTCCGACCTAATTGGGGAACGAGCGAGCAAGAGGAAGGCCAAGGCCGCCACACTCCACCAGAGTCATAGAACACTCCGCGTGCACCTTTCACTCTTAGTAATCTGAAGCTTGTCGCTGTGTGCAGTGTCCTCGATGTTGTGCAGTGTTACATTAGCCTAGTTTGTTACAAGTACTTGATGTTGCACCGACTTGTTTCACTGGATGTATGTCTGTCGATGCTCGCTCGCCGCCTGCTAAACTACAACTGGCCATCTCTCTCCCTCAGGACTTCACGTTGGATTTTTACTTCAGACAATTTTGGACGGACCCCCGGCTCGCGTATAAAAAGCGAGCCGGGGTCGAGACGCTCTCGGTCGGCTCTGAGTTCATACGTAACATCTGGGTGCCCGACACCTTCTTCGTGAACGAGAAGCAGTCGTACTTCCACACCGCCACCACCAGCAACGAGTTCATCCGAATCCACCACTCAGGGTCCATCACGCGCAGCATCAGGTGAGTGGGCTCGCTGCGTCGGTGCGACTCTGTTCCTCTCGGCGCCGGGCACCACACTCCCCGCTCGCGACTGTTGCAGGCTCACCATCACCGCGTCGTGCCCCATGAACCTGCAGTACTTCCCCATGGACCGGCAGCTGTGCCACATCGAGATCGAGAGCTGTAAGTGTGCCCGCTAGTTCCGCGTTCAGCGCCCGACTTACTTCACTGTGTCTGAACCGTTTGTTACTACTGCCGTCCTTATGCTGCACGTTGGCAATTGTTTGAGTACCGTCCAATGTGCCTTGACGCTCGACTACCCGACCTATCAGCGAGTATACTATGCAACTACTTGTTTGTGTTCTGCATTGTATTAACCACTTTGTCTGTAATCTCTTCGTGTAGGGTGAGACGACGGCGACCAGACTAATCGGAATAACATTAAATGCTAAAATGTACGAATTATGAAATTTGACAGATTTAAACACCCGTCAGAAGCTACCGTCTCACAGATGATAGAAAAATAGTAACGTACTAATACGATAACACCGATGTTCGTGTGTGTGTGTGATCACGGAGCAACCCTCGACCGGCCGCGTGCCGCACGACGCACCGGCTTAGTCGTGTCGCGCTGCTCGCACCGCCCGCGGGCCCGCACCGGCCGCTCCGGCCCGCCACCGGCCGCCTCCGGTCCGACACCGGCCGACACTGGCGCGACGGGGCACGGCGCTCACCGCACGCGCCCCATGCCGCACTGCATGCGCTTGCCCGCTACTGCCCGCTACTGCCCGCATGCACCACGCATCCCTCCATCAGCCATCTCCGTAGTACGCACGGTAGTTACGACGGTATTTTTCTATCATCCCGTCGGGTCGACTGTCGCTCGGTCGCCTCGGCGCGACGCTTCGTGGCGCGAGTGATAGCGTTTTGTGTTTGGCATGTCCCCGGAGTCGGATACACGATGACCGACATTCTGTACGTTTGGAAAGACGGCGCGTCGAGTGTCGGCATGAGCAGCGAAGTGCAGCTGCCACAGTTCCGAGTGCTCGGCCATCGGCAGCGCGCCACCGTCATCACGCTCAGTACAGGTAACCGCTCAGTAGTAGCGTCCGCCACGCCCCGCCGCGCCCGCGCCCCGCCCCCGCGACACGACTCCGGCCCGTCCGCGATGCGACACGCGACCGACTCGACCTGCCCGCGCCTTACGCCTCCTATTGCGCCGCAGTCGGCTACACGATGCGGGACATCCGGTACAAATGGAACGAAGGGCCCAACTCGGTGGGCGTCTCTAACGAGGTGTCGCTCCCGCAGTTCAAGGTGTTGGGCCACCGCCAACGCGCCATGGAAATATCGCTCACGACAGGTGCGAACCATTTTCTTAACTTTACACCAAGTTGACGTCTTGTGTCGTGTGTCCGGAGTTGTTCCAAGTGTCACTGCGACTAATCTAGTTGTGTACTCTGCCGTGGACTACCTCAGGAAACTACTCCCGGCTGGCGTGCGAGATCCAGTTCGTGCGGTCGATGGGCTACTACCTGATCCAGATATACATCCCGTCCGGGCTGATCGTGATCATATCGTGGGTCTCGTTCTGGCTGAACCGCAACGCGACGCCGGCGCGCGTGCAGCTGGGCGTCACCACCGTGCTCACCATGACCACGCTCATGTCTTCCACAAACGCGGCGCTGCCCAAGATCTCGTACGTCAAGTCCATCGACGTCTACCTGGGCACTTGTTTCGTGATGGTGTTCACCAGTCTGCTAGGTAAGTGTAAATCAACAAATAAACTTATTTTTTTTCTACATATTCTTCTTCTACTACTACTTTTGTAGCTTGTGGCTGTGACATACGGACTTAACGGTTTCATCTAGTGGATTTAATCGAACGCACGTGTACTAGGTACATACATATATTTTTCAACAAATAATGTTTGAAGGATTAAATGGACCCCGTCGATGATGTTTCAGAGTACGCCACAGTGGGGTACATGTCCAAGAGGATACAGATGAGGAAGCAGAGGTTTGTCGCGATACAGAAGATAATGTCGGAGAAGAAGATGCCGGCGGAGTGCGCGGCGCCGTGGGACGCGCACTCGCTGAGCAAGGCGGGCAGCCTGAGCCGGGGCGCGCCCCCGCCGCCGCGCCATTCGCTGGGCGGCGCGCCCCCGCTGGGCGCCGCGCCCCCGCCGCCGCCGCGCCACCACGGCTCGCTGCACGGCTCCGTGGACCGCTGCCGCCACCTGCAGGAGGTGCGCTACAAGGTCCGCGACCCCAAGGCGCACTCCAAGGGCGCCACGCTCGAGAGCTCCCTCGAGGACAACCCCGCGCCTTCGCTGCACACCCTGCACCCCACCAAGGTGAGTCTCGATAGCATTCGTAGTGCAACCATCGCTCGCTGTAACTAGCCAACGTACCGATGACATCGTCAGTGGGTGCGATCAAAATAGTAGACCACGGTCCAATACATTTTCTTCATGTGCTATCGGTCCAGTATCAATAACTAACGATAAGTTCTTTCCATTAATTTATGAACTCGCCATATGACAGCAATACTATACGATATCCGCCGGTTAGAGATAAATAAACGCGAGGTGTGCGTGTTGCAGGACTACGGCAAGTTTTTGGGCATGACGCCGTCAGACATCGACAAGTACTCGCGCATCGTGTTCCCGGTGTGCTTCGTGTGCTTCAACCTGATGTACTGGATCGTGTACCTGCACGTCTCCGACGTTGTGGCCGACGACCTGGTGCTGCTGGAGGAGAACAAGTGAAGCCGCCCCCCCCGCACTGTACATACCTCATGTATTATAGAACGCTAGTGTCACGCCCCTCCTACACTCAACTGACGGTCTGAACTTCGTACTTCACGTAGAGTTAGGAACTCGAGCGACTTGTACAGTTTGTAAATAATAACACCGTAACACTGTGCCGGTGCCCGCGCCCCGCCCCCTCCTCCTCCCCGCCCTCTACCCTCCCGCACAGCAGTACACTGCACTGCCTAGTTGTTAAGTGCTTCTCTTACAAGAACACGACTTCCGTGTCTGGCTTCAACTTATCGAACTTGCTATTTTCGAGTGAGCCATAGCGTGGAGCCTGGATTTGTTGGCTGTGAAGCTGCCGACTTACATCGAGTTTCCCCGCAAGAGGGCGCCGGCGCCGGCCGCGTCGTGTCGTATTCGGAGCATTATAATGTTAAGTTAGAGTTTATGATCTAGAATGCAACTGTTAAGTATTGTAAAGTTACAGATATTACTAATTAGGTAAGCACGGTAAGGCACACGAGACTATCTTGCATTCACATGCAGTTCGTTCGTCTTGCAATAAAGACTAACATACTATATGACACTTGTTTTATTTTTAACTAGCGGCCCGCTTTTTTTTTTAAATAAACCATAAATAGGTACTTTTGAAACGTCAAAATAGAATAGTAGTCTGTCAGTCTGTTCGTCAGTGAAGCTAGGTGCTCGTTCCAAATTGTAGTTTCGAATGGAGAAGAACGAGCAAGAAACTCCATCGTTACTCTTTTAAAAAAAAATGTTGATGTTTTACAATTCATCAATAATACATTTTTTATACATTACTGTACCCCTATGTGAGAACAATGCAGAGACAAGTTGTTAATAAAAAGGAACAAATGATGGTCTATTTAATCTATCATTAAAATTTTAATCCTTTGTTGTTTCGTACATGGCGCTCACATATGCGTACTCACAATCCAAAAGAATGCTTCTATATAAACTCATTCAAGGTTTCATTAATTTTGAGAATTTTGATAACTACTGACTACATATTTGAGAATTGTCCAGTGGAGCCGAACCAACATGCTGCCAGGCATTCTTATCCTCAATATAATCTGAAAGTTTGTAGTATGCCTGTCTACATAATTCGCGTTTAATATAAGTTTTAAATTTTCGTTCATTAAGATTTAATACACTTCTTGGAATTTTATTGTAAAAATTTACACAGAACCCCATAAAGGATTTCTGTACTTTGGACAGACGGAATCGTGGCACAGCCAGCCTATCTTTGCCTCTAGTATTAAAATTGTGTCTATCGCTTCTTTTTTCAAATAATTGCAAATTTTTCCTTACGTACATAATATTTTCATATATAAACTGACAAGGTACCGTTAGGATATTTATCGTTTTAAATAGTTCTCTCAGAGATTCACGAGGGGACAAGTTATATATCGCTCGGATAGCCCGCTTTTGCAAAATAAATATTGAATCTACTTCCGCAGCTCGACCCCATAGCAAAATTCCGTACGACATAATGCTGTGAAAATAGCTAAAATAAACAAGCCTTGCTGTGTTCACGTCTGTGAGCTGTCTAATCTGTCTAACTGCAAAAACAGCTGAGCTCAGTCTTCCCGAAAGCGTCTTTATGTGGGAACCCCATTGAAGTTTATTGTCTAGCGTAATACCTAGGAACATAGTCTCGTTAACAAATTCTAACTTTTGCCCATTTAAAATTATGTCACAATCATTATTGTGTACGTTGGGCAAGCTAAATTTAATACATTTTGTTTTTTTCTCGTTAAGTGCTAAATTATTGACTGTAAACCAAGTTTGTTTACTTCGTCCAAATTATTAACACGTCGACCTATTCTAAAAATTAATGATGTATCATCTGCAAACAGCACCATTCTTGGCTCGGTTTTAAATAGAAATGGCAAGTCATTAACATACACTAAGAAGAGAAACGGACCCAAAATTGAACCTTGCGGTACGCCAATTTTTATCTCAGAGCCCCGTGAGTTAGAACCACCTACATGAACTCTCAGCTGCCTATCCTCTAAATATGACTTTAGTAGACGGAGTGCAGTATGTCTAATCCAGTGCAGTATGTCTATCTATCTAGATACTCCACTTCTGCTTCTACGAATGTTTACTCTTAAATAACATGCGGTTGCTACGTGTGTAAAAGTTTACGTACAGTAAGTTCGTATATTTTGGGAGCAGAGTAATGTTCCATTATATTGGAAAAAGAGGATCCTCCGGCCAGGCGAGGTGATCAGCCTGGCGGGCTGCAGCCCAACCGTTTTACGTTGGGATTTTGTATCTGAGTTTATTCGCGCGCAAACTTAACTTGCGTCGTTACTATGTGCGAGGCCTCACATGTATTACACTAGCTGTTAAAAATAACAATAACACTAGTTGTTATATATATAGTTTCTGTCAGCAGAAGTCAAAAACGTTACAATCGTCTTTTTCAAGACGAGTTTCTGTCAGAAGTCAAAAACGTTTAAAACGCCTTTTTCAAGGCGGCTTGTTTCACTGTTTCTAATAACAGAAAGTAAAAAAAACGAAGGTATTGGTTTGTTGTTCACGGAGGTATGGTAACGGTAATCTGGTTCTTCAAGGAGGTACGGTAAAGGTAATCTGGTAATGTGAGGTGTGGTTATGCCATAGAATGTAGGTAGGTATGTATGTATGCCGCTCTATGCTATTAAAATTGGGTTCTTTAAATAATGAGCGTTCTGAAAACATCACTGAATATTGCAAAACTTCTCTTGAATATTCCTCGGACTTGTCGTGTTTTGCGGAGATAATAGGTACAAATACGAACTTTGGTGGCTTCAGCAGAGGCGGGTGCAATAATGTTCTCGAGACTTAACGCTGAACTGATTTACCTGCGTAGAGGATGTCCTGCACATATTCTACAAAACACTCTGACCACAGCTGCTGATGTTTTGACTATCGACGTTGAATCGACAGTAAAGGTGTTTAAGTACTTATTTTGAAAAATTTAATGAGTATTGTGAAAATGGTGATGTTGCTTACAGAAACTTATTGTGTTATGTTGGGACCAGGTGGTTATCACCAGATCATTACCAGCCGTAAAGCGAACATTAAAGCTATTTAAGCTTAAAAGATTTCTTTGATGAAAAATTAAAATAAAAAATAATCCTGATGCATCTCAGTACGTTTGAATCAGAAATAAGAAATGTTGAAAAATCTAACTTCACGGTAACTGAAGTGAAGACAATATTACAAGAGACAGTGAACTTTATGATGTAGAGAAAAGATCTAATTTGATATGAATAGCGACGAAGTAAACTTCTGAAAGAAAGAATCGCCTCTGGATGTTTCTGATCAATATTCCTGAATGGGAAGATATTGAACGAACTGAACTGAACATAATTACAAAATTAGGTTAGGTTAGCTTAGGTAAGGTTAGGGCACAAAAAATTTTGATGGGTTAGGTTAGGTTAGGTTAGGTTAGGTTAGGTTAGACCCCCTCCACTCAGGCGAGGCCGGAGTGCCACTGGGTTTTTTAGTGGGTATACCGGGAACGACTTTACCGGGGAGTCCCACATAACCCTCTCCCGTCCCCCGACGGGAAGGGTATGCGTAATAGCATTTTTCCCAGTGCCGCAAAAAAAAAAAAAAAAGGTTAGGTTAGGTTAGGTTAGGTTAGGTTTTTTTTTTTTTTTTTTTTTTTTAAATAAAACATTATCCGCAGACATAAGCGTCCGCGCTCTTTTTTACTCCTTTAATATTTTGTTTACATTAATTCTGAATGTTTACAGTATCGGATTTCCTCACGGACGGGAGGACAATTATTATCTTAAAATTATCTTTAAAAACTAGCGTGAGTTCACATGCAATATAATATATGTATTTTTTTTTTTATTTTTTTTTTATTGTTTTATATAGTTTTTTTTTTATTTTATTTTTTTTTTATTTTATATAATTTAATTTTAATAATATACTAATATAATCTACTACTATATATATATACTACTACTAAGCATTAAATTTACAATGATACTTACAAACTTATTACTATTACATTAATTATATTAACTTACTCTTATTATATTTAATTACATTGTCTTACTTTTTAGCAATAGGCACATTATACAATGTCAATATTGGAACAAATATGTTACATTCTATTTATTTTATTGAGACATACAAACACATGACACACAACACCATTGGCTGGCCAATCACGAACCTCCACTCCCGCCGCCGACCAGGGAGCTCGCCAGTTGTAGGAGTTCTCCCATTACGGTCTCATCGCGATGTTGTATGGCCGCCTTTAGATTATAGTCGATGACCATTTTTGTGGTGGCGGTCATCGCTTTCCTTACAAAGCGGCCCGTGGCGTCGTCGGCGTCATCGGAGTAGTACACGCAGCTGGATGTGTGTCTAGACACGGCCACAACTGCGTGGGGAATGCTGTTGTGGATGGCCAATTTCCTGGACTTGGTGTTAATTATGATGACGCTGTCGTAGGTCAAACCCTGCGCTTCGTGTATAGTCAGTGTGCGCGAGCCCTCTCCGGCGCCGTATCCCTGGTCAATAAGGAGAGCTTTTTCCTCTTGAGTATGCACCAGGAATAGGGTATTCTGGGCGGCGGCTGGTATCTGCGCCCCTGTGTAACCTTCCGCTCTCAAGGAGTGAACCGTTGACAGCGCCGTTTTCGAGGAATAGATACCGGAGTATATTTCGCTCAGAGCCAACGCCACGTCCATCGGGCTGCGGCGTGTGCAAAGTAGCTCCTGGGTGATCCCAGCCACCGAGACCGGACGGGAGTATCTCATTGTAAATAGGTTCTCCCTGTCCAAAAATGGTAGCTGGTTGACATCACCGACGAGGACCACCTCTCTAGCACCAGCCAACCTTGCCGCCATCACGATGGCCCCAAAATGGTTCATCAAAGCCTCGTCTACCGTGAGACGGTAGTAGGTCTCGTTGGCTTTGAAACCGTTCGCTAATATTGAGGCCATCGTGCGCACTTTTGTATTTGTGCGATCTCCCAGACTCCCTCTGAGTCTTTCTTTCAGCTGTTTGGCAGCTTCGGTTGTCGTGGTGGCTATGACCTCCTTCTCCTCGTCGAAGTTTTCCACCACCCAGGTAGTTTTGCCGCAACCCGGGACCCCGTTTATCCAGCGAACGCTGGGCACCGCCCAACCCCCCTGTCCCGCCGGACGGTCCGGAGGCCCAGAGATGGAGCTTGCCATCTCCAGGATCCTGTCGTCCAGCATGATTTTTGTGCATTTGGCGGTGACCACCGTCGGGTGTCCCTGTGGGGTCTTGAATGTTGTCGTTCCCGAGCGCTCCGTCCTGTCCTTGTCCAGGGCAACGAAACCACAGGTGTCGCTGTAGGCCGCCATATATGACCCACTCATCTCCCCTGCAATTACCTGCGAGGTGTCGTTGTCATATATGGCTGCCCCGGCCTCCTCGAGTAGAACCCTTAGCAGACCTTCTGTTTGGCGTTGGTAGGTCTGCATGATCTTCCGGCAAGTTCTGAGATTGACCTCTTTGGTTGCT